TCTCCTTCGATTCCGGTGAAAACGTGCTAAGCTTTCGTCCGTCATATGACGGACATCATCAGAGCGAGGTGACATCGCCACAACAAAATTCAAACTAACGAATCAAGAAAACTCACCGGCAAATCCCTAAAAAGTGGTATATATACTCTACATCTGGCTTAGCACCTTTTTACCGGAATCGAAACAGATTGCCTCGGAAACAGCGTCAGCGTGAATCTTCTGGTGGAACCGACCGTCGAATCTCTTCACCCAAAATTTCCACTCGAATCGGAAGTAAGCTCAATAATTATGATCAAACGAAGGATGATAAATTGCTTAAAAGATGTACCGTAATGAGACATATTTGTAGGCTTACGCTAAGGTCTGAGCATAAGACAACTCAGAGGTTTAGAGGTGAAGAATTGCCGTGATTTGGGGACAGACGAGAAGACATGCAGAGCTGGACTGAATGTGTAAAAAGATGGACGACTGTATGGCGAGTGCGCACTACCGGTTCGCCGTAGTCGAGGGAGGATAGCGAGTTGGCAATTATCGAGAAGAGCACCCCTAAAACGGACTTTATGCGAAACGAAGACGAGCAAACGTCGCCTAGAGACGAGACGCAACAATGAATCGCATCACCTCGACATTTCTTTCAAAAGGAGACGAATGAAGATAGTAATAGCTGAACAAGAGTCATTGACGCCAAGCTCCTATCATTTTCGCGTGTTCAGTCTCTGGCCCGTCCAGTTGAAGGGGTCTAAAATAGCCATGTGGCGCGGTCACATTCGCCTAACTCCCATCTGTTAGGCATAGTTGGTAGGCCTTGCAACGACCACTAGAACTGGATGCAGATCAGGGTCTCCACCCGCCCATACTGGGGAAGGGATCGGCTAGACACACAAAGAGAGAGAGAGAGAGAGATTCGCACATTAAGGATGGGTTGTGCATGCGATCCACACCATGATCTCATAATCATGGGCGTGGCTTGGCGGTCGGACAAAATGGCCTGGCAACAGTCGGATCCACGACCAGCATCCAACTGAGCCATTCTACAGTTCGCCTCCATAGGGTACCTTGAGTCGGTTTGACTCTCCTCTTTTGTGCGCACGTGTGTGTGTCTTTCTGTGGGTGTGCATGTGGGTATGTGGAAATGTATTGTAGAGAGCAGGAAAATGAAACGGCCAGATCCGAACGATAGGCTGAGGTGGTGAATCGAGAGGTCCCCTCGTGAGCGACGACTAAGAAAGCTTGGCATCGAGGCATGGGGTGCTGGAGAAGGCGAGACATGATAATTTACAATGTGAAATACAGGCATAGCCTGGAGACCGATGCTGCTATGGCCGGGGTGATGGGGGTTTGACGAGACTGGTTGGATGGTGTGACTGCGGGAAGGGAGTAAGCCGATTCAATAGCTCATCGTCTCACTGACATCTCTTATTCAATCACCAACTCAATGATTATGGCAAAAGATGCAGGCCATCTTGTTCGATTCGAGTAGAGCAGAAAGGAGCTGAGGGGAGTGGAAGCAAAAGGAAGGAAGTCAAAAGACGGAAGTCAAAAGGTGGAGCTAAGTGGAGTAGAGATAACTGAGGTGGCGCTGTTCTACGAGGAGAGGAGGGAATGGAAGAAGAGATTAGGGCAATAAATAGGAATAGAGAAAGGTGAAAGTGTAATAGAATAAAAAGATATTGAATATAACAGGTAACGGTAGAGCGTAGGCGATATGAGTGTAGTGTAGTGGGGTGGACCGAAGTGAAGTGGAGTGAAGTAGAGTGAAAATAATAGGAGAAAGTAGCTTTGTGTTCATAGGGGCGGAGGTTATCTGACTCGAGTGGAATTCTGACAAGTAGATCTTATCTCAGAAGAGTGGACCGTATCGAATTGGAGTAATTGGATTTGGTTTAATGTGAGTTCTACAACTGAGGGTCAGCCTTTGGTTGAGTGAATCGTGCTAACGCCATTTATTCTGTCCGTCCTGTTAAGTGATTAATGCAAGTTTAGGAAATTAAATTGAAGATGTGAAGACCAAGATGTTGTGGTCTCGGGTATGGTCGCAGTCTCCTTTCGATTTATGGAAGTGGGTTGACCTCGTTGTCGCAACTTGGTCTCGTTTTCAGGGAGACCATGTAGAACGCACATAGTCCGAAGTCGTCTGTCATAGTAGTTGTCATGATTA